TCGGGTACGGCATACCCCATCATGTCAAATGGTGCCTCCGGGTACGGCATGTGTGAAAAGTTATAAAGTTAATGTTTTGAAATGTATAGCTTGATCACGAATGCACCTATGACACCTATTGAGTTTTTCAACTCACGGGTTTAATCCCATCTCTACAGATTGAAGGAATTTTACCTCAGGTATGGATGGAGGAGAAGATGGAGAGTGATGCAACGAGCCCATGGAAATTCGGTGAATAAGCGATTTGGATTTATTTTTATGAAATGTTTTCTAATGTTATTTCTTTAAAATTTTGAATAACGCAGAATGCGAGAACAAATTATGTTTTCTCCAAATAAATTACATTTTGTTGTTTTGAAAAATGATTCAGTGTTTTTGTTTAAAGTATTTGAAGTATTGTTATTTAAATTATTATCCAAAGATATAAGCTTCTGCTAAAACGTATACACTTGTTACTAAACCACCAGTTAAGCTAATAAAGTAAGTAGCGTTCCGGTCCTGCATCTCCTGTAATTGTGGAACCCTGCAAAATATTCAACTGTGCAGAGTTTTTCTGTCCCTTTATGACAATAAGAGCTCCCCAACTCACCTTTAAAACTCTACTTTTACCAATATATTTATGACCCTTTGAGTTAAATGTACTCAAAGATATGAGATTTCACTTCAGTTTTGGAATGTGCCTGATGTCTATAAGTTTTCTGATAATACGATCGAACATTTTGATCCTGACTGTATAAAATTCCTATCTTGATTTCTCCCATAAACAACCAGGCCTTTAGCTTAATTTCCAGATCCTCCAACAAGATGCCTCATCTTCTCTTTAGATAGTAAAGCATCATAAACCTCTTCCATAGTGAGAGTATCCTGGCCATAGAGAATAGCTTCTCTAAAAGTCACATATGATGGCAACAGTGAACGCAAAAACATCAATGGCAAATCCTCCTCATCATACTTAACCTCCGATATCTCTAAATCAGTCACGATTTCTTTAAATATAGTTAAGTGATCATCCAATGACGCACCTTCAGACATTCAATGAGAATACAAGCATTGTTTCAAGTGTAACTTGCTGGTCAAGCTCTTTCTTATACAAAATTGGTCCAACGTTAACCACAATGCAGCAGGACTTTTCTTCTTTAAAATATCCTGAAGAATTTGATTTGATAAATGTAGATGAATTTGGAATTGGCCTTTTTGATCCCTAAGCTGTTTTTCATCCTGCGTCCAAGTTGAAGGCATCTTATCAAAGTCAAACGAAGCTTCCTCTAAATTAATCTACGCTAGAACTGTTCACATCTTCTCTTGCTATAAAGTGAATCTTGTATATGAATCCAATAACAAAATATCATATTTTATCATTGCCATGCGAAATAATCAATCTTGCTCTGATACCACTTGTTATGAATTGATCACAAGATAATGACAATAATGAAATAAACAAGAACAAAAATTAAAAACACCAAAATTTATGTGAAAATCCAAGATGGGAAAAAATCGCAGGCAAAGGAGGAGAAATCCACCTAGTCAATAATAATTACGTTTACAACAAGATCTCAATGCTCTCAACTAATATCTAAAGCTCTCAGATGTTGTATGAATGTTATGGAAAAATACAAGACATCACTTATATATATAAAACCCTAGGAGTCAAGTAATAGATAAATAGGAGTGCAAATTGCATTAATATACAAAACGGGCTTGGGTCAGATAACATTGTCACTTGAGCAATAGGCAAGCAACAACCCCGTCACTCGAGCACCAAGCGAGTGATAGACGAGCAACAACTTTTTTGAGAATGAGTTGGTGCTGCTCAAACAGCCGGCTAGCAAAAATGCAATGGCATTTTTTCTTGGTCCATAATCTTGATCTCTTAAAGACCACCCCAACTAAAATTCCAATACCCACTAGAATTTGGGTCAAATTACAACATAGCTCATAAATACTACATACAATGCAAAAGTTCCCTTTGTCAATCTCTAATCTCTAATCTTCCTGAACTTTTGAGGTTAAGCCCCTATTTGTTATGGTTTGCAAACCGCAGTCTGACATGATTTAACCCCTTTTTGTTGTTTTTCATTCTTTTAAGTTTTCTTGATCCATTTGGACTCCTTAAAAATTCTTTGAACACTATAATTAGACCTTGTTTAGGTCATAAAAAGGGGATTGCCCCACAGAAATCAGAGAGAAAATTAGAAAAGTCAAAACAAAAATAAGAAAACTAAGGTTTTGAAGATTTGATTTAGGAGAAAAGATTTTTGGTGCAAGATCATCACTTTTTTTCTCATTTTCCTTTAAGCTCGTTGATATGTTGTAATCTTTTCTTGTATTTTTATTCTACCATGATGTGTAATAGTCCCATTAGTTATTCTGTCGTTTACTTTCATTTCATCCCTTCTTATTCCTATCTTCTTGCCATTTTAACATTTTCTTTAAAAAAGAGAACAAATGGAGCAAAGACACCAGTCAATAATAATAATAATAAT